GGTGGAGGGGGTGAAGGGAGGGCAGGGGAAGGGGGAAAAAAATGAGAACCAAGATACTCATGTAATGGTACAAGATCCCAATGATGTATGTAACTGTATTTTATACCTAAAATGTACCAATAAACTTAATGGGGGGGATCTCCACTACTACTACCTTGGTCAAGCTCCTGTGTCTCTCACGTGGATTACAGCCAGTCTCCTAACTAACCATCCCATTTCTATTCCTGCCTACTTCACGATACTTCACATACTAACAAAAGTGACTGTTTCACGATATAAATCACATTATGCCCCTTAAACCTCTTCACAATTAATACTTAAGACCCAAGCTGCCATAGCTTCCAAAGCCTCAGGTCCTGCATATCATTCTCACCTCATCCAGTCCCTCTCCCTATGGACCACCATGCTCCAGCTACTGTGATTTTAACTCACTGCAACACACTGACTCTTTAACCACTGCTCCCTGCTGTTCCTGGCCTTTCATATGTTGCTGCCATATGCAAATTTCTCTTACTACAACCCTATCATGGGTAGCTAGCCTTTAGGTCTTACAAATGTCCCGTCAAAGAAACCATCCCCCAACCACTGTTATTTTTTGTCTCTGCCCTTTGTTTCTGCTGCAGAAATTATTACAACTCATTAACTAGACTGATTAAGCTCCAGGACGGCAAAAACTATGTCTATCAGGTTTCTGTATCCAACAGTAATAGACATGAGCAATTGCTCAACAAATATTTATTAAATGGATTAATAAGTGAAGAAACAGGACTAGGTTGCAATCCTGACTCTATTACTGACTCTCTTTGGTCTCAGCTAAGCCACAGCTTCTCAGAGCTTCAATTTTCTCTTCCATTAGAAAGGAGTCAACACCTTGTAGGGTTGCTAGATGAGAACTACTGGAAACTGTCAGTGAGCACAGTCCCTGTACCTGAATAAATGCTACAAGCTGAATAAGCATTAGTTCCCTTCTCTCCCTTTTATAGCTTAGATGGTGAGAATTCCCAAAGCTAATAATCAGTATTGAAATTATACACATTTAAACCTACTTAGAAAGATGACATGCACCTGAACAGGTGGAGTGCTAACTTAAAGAATCAAATTCTAAGTCTTGGAAAACATGAGTCAGTAGTGTGTGTCTCTCACTAATCTCTCCTGTAAAAAGGGGTAGAGACTGAGGAGAAACAGAAGGGAAAGGTAACCTTAGAAATTACAGATCATCAATCCAACTTCAATTCCTGAATTTAAAACAACTTTTAACCTATACAGATTTGCAGCAAGGATGAACATTCATTCTAAAATTCTAAAGTCAAAACATTTTCTATTGCTTAAATCTGTATAATCTCACCTGTATTTCATACATTTGCTTCTTTTTTACTTTACTTGCATTATTTAAATTGTTAATATCACTAATTGAAGAAAAACAAAACACACAACAAAGCAACAGCAAAACAACTCAGATCAGAAACAAAAACTTCCCGTTCCCTTTATTTCTTGATAAGCTTTAAATTTTCTACTCACAAAAACTATTTTAACATTTGAACTGCTGCTCCCTTTTCAGTCTAACATCCCTCTTACACTTTCTTTAAAGACTTGCTAAATTTTACTTTGAAAATCACTTACTATCTACATCATTCAAATCTCTGTACTCCTGCTGGAACACAGCTGCCCCTCTAAAAGTGGTCATCTCAATACCTCTACCCAATAACCACCTAGAACTCTGTGGAATGCATCTGCCTACCTTCATTTCTCCCCTAAAATATGGACAGAATTTAGATTCTGAACTCAAGGAAGGGCTTATGTTAAGCAATTCATTTAGTTTTATTCAACGTATTTTATGTAATCAACCTTGACTTCTTTAGAAGTAACTGGTATCCAGCTTAGTTTTTTTTTCTTACGTTCCATTTCTACAACTTTTCTAAGATTAGAGCTTCTAGTCTATTCTGAAGGTGGAAACTTTTTTTAAGTGCTGTTGAATGTTCCATAAAAATGCATGGAAAAAGTTTCATCCATTAGCTCTAAAATGCAAACATATTATACGCTAGCACAACATTTAGAACAGTACATGCACCATAAAGACTCATGGCTGTAAAAGGCTGAAAACCAGTTTGGAAATGAATCCTACCACAGGTCCGTCTGTACATGTCAGGAAGAGTTCTCACTGCTACGGAATGCTCTGGCAGCAAGCAACCACAAACTAACCATCGGCAACTCTTCAAGACTATTGGTCTGAATTACACTTTAAGGTTTCGTCTGGGGCAGTGTTTATCAGACTACGTGTTATAATCTGCTAATGGGTCCAAAATTAGTGAGTCCACACCAGTGGAGAAGAAAGGGTGAGCGGGAAGGAGAACAAGCAGACTAGAGAATAACAGACAGAGTGTACCACTGGTAGGAAGGGTATTATTTCACAAACTTTATTTTGTTCTCTATGAACTGCCACAGCAACATAAAATGTATGTTACAGGCAAGCTTGAGTGAAAGTCAGTGAACACTCACTTGGGAGACAAAAAGAAAGCTGAAGGATAAAGCAATGGAGATGTCAGAATTAAAACTGGCCTTTGAGAGGTAAGCAAGCTGAGGGGAGACAGAAAATTTGGCAATGTCCATACATTTGTAAAGCAGAAACATCTCTACTTGGGAAACTGAGGCACTTTCCCCACCACAGCAGGCCCAGGACATAGCTCACAGGCCCACCCTACGTCTCTCATCCCTTCTCGCTTCCGAGAGAAAGGTGGGTGTCAGCCCTTCCTCTCCCCTGCTTTTAGGTTAAGATACAGCAGCGCCTGGAAGAGAATCACTGGTTCCTGAACAATTACTTCCAGAAGACATTAACCGCAGGCCATTATAAATTTTAAATTGTGTAATTTCACACAACTTAGAGCGTCAAATAAGACTCTGATATCCAGAAAGGTAACTTGGAATTACAATGTAGTCTTGTAAAAAATGGTCACTTGAGTATAAACACTAAAGGATTTTTTTTAAAAAGTATATGAAACGTTTCAAAGATTCAAGGCACAACTTGGAAAAACTGAATGTTGCACCTAACAGGCAAGAATCGCTGCGTAAAAAACAGTATTGGAATTCCCTAATACTGGCCACTGAGTTGTAAGAGTTATCTTGTACAGCCTGGGATTTAGCTCAGTGGCGTTCTGCCTGCCTCTCAAGTGCAAGGTCCTGAGTTCCACCCCTGGTATGGGAAAAAAAAGTTATTCTGAGTATTCAGTTGTTTCAATGGAGCTTTCTGAAGCTTTAATGAAGCTTATCTGAAGTCATTCTGAAAACAAACACTCTGACTGTTCCACAAATTACAACTAGTGTCTGCCCTAGAGGCCTACCTGATGGCTTTCTCAGGGTCCATCCTCAATACCTAACAACTACTTCCTATTCCAGTAGCCTAAATCCCACTAGCACATCCCCTATTATTATCGTTTTCACTAATACATACTCTAACACACATACTAGCACATGCTCTATAGAGCTCTCCTAGTTGCGGTGCTAGGGTTCCTTTCATCTTTGCTGACAGCTTAGTGTTCAGCCTGGGTCACTTCTACTTTTTTGTTATATTGCTCTGAAACTCGCTGTGGCTTGAGACTTCAACCTTTAGCATGATCACCTGCTAGTTTTATCATCTGGTCCCATTCGGTTGGAAACAGGAGTTTCCGTCTTTGACTACTAACAATTACTCACTGAACACAAATTCTCAAAGAGAGAAACCTTTGAGAAGCACGTAACAGACATCACTTTGTGTACAAGTAGAAACAAAACGAAACAAAACAAAAAGCACCAAGACAAATTATGGGGATCAGAGCCTCTTATCCCTAGAGGCAAAAGACTTTTAGTTCAAACACTAAAGACACCGGTTTTACTAAAATAGCAGCCCACTTACTTATCTATTTAGATCAGATCTCAGAAATTCAATTCTCATCATAGCCCAGGACATTCCTGACCACCCTGGAATTTTCTCTTCTGTCCGAATCCATTACACCAGCCCAGGGCAGAACCATACCCACCTTCAGGCAGGGAGAGGCGACACAATAGCTTATCGATCTCTGGTGTCGACCCTAACCCACAAGTCATCAGGAAAGCAGGAATCGCTGCCACTTGATGCAACTAACAATCAAAAGTCACGCGCTGGGTTTTCTGGTCCCACACAAGGACGGCACTGGCGATTACTTTACTTCACCCGAAGTGGGCCAAACCACCCTCCTCCCCAAAATAAAATTAATGCCTCACTGGGGCCCGGGCGTTTCCGGCTGTCAGCGGACGCCGGCTGGAGCTAATCGTTTCTCAGGCTAAGTGGCCGTCACACCAGCAGCACAGGGGCCGGCTTTCAGGAGACGCGGCTCCCGGGTGCTCGACCGCCGCCGCCCGCGCCACCCCACGGCCCGCGGACCTCACGTCCGTGCACAGGGCTGACTTCGGCAGCGAGCGTACGCGGCGGCAACTTCTGCTTCCCGCAGCCCGGAAGCGAAGCCGGAGCCCGCGGAGGGGAGGCGGCTGGCGGTGGCCGGGGCCCGGGGCTCGGAGCCGGAAGGGGCGTCCCGAGCGCCCCCCGGGACGGCGCCGCCGCGGGCCGCTTGACGCGAGGGCCCGGGCGGAGGGGAGCGCCCGCACGGGAGCCCTCCGGGCCTTTGTCCCCGGCCGGCGCTTCGTCCCCGCGCGGGGTCGGGGATGGGACGGGGACACTCACCGCTCAGCCCGGCTAGCAGCAGCCACAGCCACAGCCACGGCCACGCGGGGCTCCGGGCCATGGCGTGGGCGGCGGAGCGGGAGGCAGACGCGCCGCCGGCCCGGTTCCCCGCGCGCTCCCGCCGCCGCCGCCTCAGAGCGCGCCCGCGCCCACCCGAGCGCGAAGCCCACACGGCCGCCTCCGGGATCGAGGGCGGGAGCGCGGGGTGCGGCGAGGGCGAACGGGGCTCGGCTGGGCTCCGGCTGCGCCGCGCGAACCTCCGCCGGCCGTCAGACGGACGCACCGCTCGCTCATCGCGCGCTCGGCGATCCCGCGCCCGCCTGCCCGACGGCCGCGCCAGGCAGCGCCAATCGATGCGCGAGCGCGCGATGAGCCGGCGCGGACTAAGGCGGGTAGGGACGGGTCTCCGCATCCCGGCTCCCTGCAAGCCTAGCCCTCGGGTCCCCGAGGCCACCGACCCCTAATGCGTCCCTACTGACAGTTATTATTTTTTCGGTACTGGGCATTGAACCTAGGGCCTTTGCACTGAGCTACGTCCTCAGCTTTTCTTAAATTTTGAGACAGGGTCTCTCTAGTTTGCCCAGGCCGGGCTCGAACTCGCAGTCCTCCTGCCGCAGCCTCCCTGAGCGCTGGGATTGTCTCCTCAGTTGGGCTGCGCTCGCCCTGGGCCTGCAGCCGCTTTCTGGCTGCTCCCTGAGGACCGCAGGACGCCTCTCCACCCTGTGCGATACTTGCTAATACCACACTTTACAGATAAGGAGACCGGAGACGTTAAATCACCCAGAAGATAGAACAACTAGGTCTTCCGAATCGATTTTTTTCTCATTGCAAAACCCAGGCTGTTTCGCCTCTACCCCCAGGAAACCGGGGCCGGTGTTCAGCACAGAGTAAGAAAATGTTCAGTCCTAAGTCAGACTTCTAGCGTGGCGCTTCCTCTCCATCTCCTGCTGACTTGTCCCCTTTAAGATTTGGGGGGGAGGGGGGTCTGAAATGGTATTCCAAAATATAAAAGAAAAACTTTATTAACAAATATTACAACATCCAACAATTAAATCTTGTATCATCTGGCAAAAGGAGAAAAAAAGCAGAACTTCAAAAATGCTTTCCTTTCTTTTCGGAGAAAAAGCAGCAGCTTCAATGTTCTGTTCTTCACTCAACAACCTGCAGGTGTCTTTTCTGGTTTCAGGATTCAAAGCTCCACTTGACTCTTCAGATGTCTTTCCCTAAATTGTGCTGCCCGGACAGCTGTGTTTTGGGCAAACACAAGCAGATCAAACAAGTAGGTTGGACTGCAGCATCCCCACATACACCTTGTCCACTTTTGTACTATTCAAGGAGCTCTGTCCCCAAGAGGAAACAGTCCTCCTCAGCTCCTCATGCTCCTACACCTACCCCTGAAGTGTCTCCAGGCCCCTTTAACTCTATTAAAATTGAGTGAGGCCTCCAAAGAGATTCCATTTAGGTCAGTCATATCTGTTGCTATTCATTATTTAGGAGTTAAAACAAAACTCTTCAATATTTGTAAATTCTTTTAAAATAAAAAAGCATTGCAAATTTACACTACTGTTTTCTAAAACAAGTTTAGTGAGAAGATGGACATTGTTTTCCATCTTTGTAAGTCTCCTCAATGTCTGGCTTAATGGAAGACGGTTAGATCCTCTTACCTGCTTGTGGATGCGATCTGTTGCAATATGTTGTTTTGGTTGAAGTATATGAAGAAAATTCAGAGTCGCACAAATATATAAATTGGCAAAGGGCGGACCTCATGAACCTTCCTGAAATAGCCTCAGGCACAACACGGCCAGACAGGCCGAGCCTTCCTCAGCTGAACTCCAAATGTTCCAAAACATTGAAAACTGAAGCTTAAAAGTTTCAGATTTTAGATTAAGGATGTAACATTGACGTACCTTTTCTAAGTCCAGAAAACTCTGAAACACGAACACTTCCAGGTCCAAGTATGTCAGAGAAGGGATACTCAGTCTGTAAAACTTTGAGAACTATTGTTCTAGGTGTCTATCTTGACACCTTCCAAACGCACAAATTTGTTATATCATTGGAAAAGAGCTACTAAATAAATAGGTTCAAGGGTATGTTTCATGATGGAACATGTTTATGCCATAGAATTCTAATTGACATCAGACACTGGTAAGCAACAAGACACAGAATAGTTACCCCTTTGTTACCTAATCTATGTACCTGGCTGTCTAGGTGGTTGTAACAAATAATTCATATAAGGAAGAACTTTGCAGCCTACTGAAACTGTAGCTATACAATAGTTTGTACTCCTAACAGTTCTGCTGCAGGTGCACTGCTAATTTTGTTTGAACAGTGTTCTGACCTGCAGCCTATAAAGTATAAATCCTGCTCCTGGGACCCACCTGGTTCTTAATCTGCTCCCCTCGATCTATATTTGGCCTTCGAAGAATCTCATACCTTCTGAGATTGTATGTAAATTTTGTGTTCATGTACCAGTAAAAGGGCGAAGATAATTTTCAACTGATCTGTAGAGAACTGTGTTGACAGTTTAGAAATTTTAAAGACAAATTTACTAAGACAACTCTTTGAATTTTTTCTTAGTTCTTTTCCAGGCTTCTCTCAAACTTCTCGAGAACATGTAATTGGGGTTAGAGAAGTATACAGACTGATTGCTTGACAGATTTTGAAAAGGACCACAACCATCCACTTTACCAAGACATGGCCCTAAATAATCAAAATCCTTTTGTTTGATTTTAAACTTCTCTTTCTCCTTTGTTTATAGTCACATACAGTGGTTTGGTTTTTACTCTTGCCACCAATAAATATTCATCCCAGCCCAGTGTTGACCTCGCTCCATTTAGTAGCATTGGAGACTCTCACCAACACTGTGAGGTTAGACTGGGAATTTAAGTCCACTCCAAGCATCATCTTTTATTGGAAAGAAAATTGGTGATACTGGATTTTCTACTTGGCATGCTTCCAAGCAGAGCTAAATCTTTTTAACTACCTCTCAAAAGCATATTATTTTTTAAAAGAGAAAAACAAACTTGAAGAACACTTATAAATCACAAAAGGAAAGAAAAATATTTAAGGATTGCAGTTAAATAAGTGAGATCTCTTTACAAACAAATGGTAATTTCCACTGGAGTTGAATAATATCGGATAACAAATGAGATCCATCAATCCAAGCAACTTCTATGCCAGTTCCCTAGCACATTTATTGTGATTATTATTTATTGTGTTCTGTGCACTGACAGTGTGCCCAGCCATGTACCAGGTAGTCAAAGACATAATCCTAGCTCTTGATTAAACAGTCCAAAACAATACAGATTTAGTTTCCTTAATTGGAAAACCAGATCACAGAGCATGCATGAACTTTAATAACATGCACCTCTTGCAGAAATCTGAAATAATCTCCCTCACCAAGATAAAGGAGTGGAGAATCAACTACAGACATTAATAGTTATAAGGAAGTATTCTGAGGTTTTTTTATTATTGTTTTAATGCAAATTTCAAACTGCGTATCTTTATGCTTAAGTCCTTCTCTGAAGGACTGAAGAGATGAACCAAAAATGCTTGTACCATGGACTCTCATCTTGAGCCCTGTGTGCCATCAGCATTGAATTTGACAACTATGATGGTTGTTTATTGTGACATAGTGCTAATTTAAGTTATATGACTTGTTCATTTGTAATTTTCCCAAATCCAAAAAGAATTTGAAATTCCCCACTGTATTTGGCAAATACAGTGTACTATAGTGGATAAAGGCATAGACAGAGCTGAGGAGTTTAACAGGGCTGGTTTTGATCTGGGAAGTTGACCTTGGTAAAGAACCTAACTTCTTATATTTTATATTCTGTCTTGTTAAATGGAGGAAAATGAGGCATCATTTGTTACACACATTTAGTGAAGTAGCAATTATTGCTGATATATGCTGAGCACCTATGCTATGCTATGTATTTAATCCTCAAATAATCCTATGATGTCAGTGCTATTATTGCCCTTATTTTTCAAAGAAACAGGCAGACAGAGAGGTCAGTGATTTTGTTGAGCTCACACAGATTGGAAATGTCTGGCATTTAAACTCAGGCACGCACACTCAATCATGCTGCCATGCCATATGCAGAACACTTGACATAATCCCAGGCACTCAGTACGTACTCAATAAACGTTAGCCACTGCTGTCAAACCCGCAAGTGATAAGAGCAAAGCAACCCTTCTTCTGTAATGTCATATAATTTGAAATCAAATCTATAGTTAGTATTTTCTACCTTTTATTTCCTAGAAGTAACCAGTACGACCTTTTATTCTGTTAGATTGATATATGCTATTTTTTAGATTTATTTTTAAATACAAACATCACTTTTTATTTTTATTTATTTATTTTTCAAACATCATTTTTTAAAGTTTCATTTCCTTGAATTTTAGAAAACAGTATCGAAAAGATGAAGCATGAGTCTGACTTTTTGCTGCTTGTACTAATTTTTTTCCAGTGACCCTGGAGTCATTATTTATAGTTTCCTTTGAAGATCAGAGAACCCTAGGTTGCTTATTGCCCTGATATTCAGAAAAGATCTATGAGAGAATTTTCTGATCTCAAAAAGAAGACATCAAATCATATGAAACTGCTCGGTTACCGGGCCATGAAAACCGAGGTCACTGCTGCTGAAGAATAGATTACTCCAGCTTCATCATGAAAAGAAGCT